CTAAGACCATGCTCTTATGCATGTGGCAAAGGGAACTTTTCAGAGGAAGGCCGAGAGGTGGTCTGCATCATTAAAAGCATGAGGGGGTGACTTCTCAGGGGATTGCTTCATAGGTCACATGTGACAGCATGAGCAGGAGAGACCCCTGCTCCAGCCAGAGGGTCCTCCCTTGCAGTTAAAAGCACACTGAGCAAGTGGGCTACCACCTTACAGTGAGGGTAGACCTAGACCCCAGAACTCCAAGAAGCATTTGATTCAGTTCATGTATGTGTCCTGAGTCCTTTGCAAGAGACTTGCTGCAACCTCACACACTTGTCTTGGAGCTGAGGGAGTAGCCGGGGACGCTGTGGGGACCAACAGAGGGAACAGCAAGCAGGCAGAGCCCCCGAGTACAATCCGTTTCTCGGTTGTTCCACGAGAGGTGCATAGCATCTGGTTTCTGCAGTGTGAGGGCAAGCATGTGGTAAACCTGGAACTTCCAAAGGAGTCGTGGGGTGAATAGAATGGGGGCACTGGTGCGGGGTTGGGCCCAGATCCTGAGATATGTGTGCCGAGTGGACTAACTCCACCTCTTTCGTGTGTTTCTGTAAGAAAGGCTTTTAGCTGCAGTCACAGTGACTCAAGCATCGAGACTTTGTTCTGTCATATGAATCCAGGGAAAAGATAGTCCCAGCTGGAGCTGCTCTAGAATGATGTAATAAGGCACCCTGGCTCTCTCTTCCCTGAACCTTTCCTCTCCAGGATTGTTGCCTGGCGGTCCCGAAATAGCAGATGCATCTCGTGGAATCAGCGTCCTGTCCACGGTAAAGGAAGGATGATGGGAGAGAAGAAAGGGCAGATCTGCATGTTGGCTGAGTCCACCTGTTTTTATCAGGAAAGAAAGACCCTCCCTGGAAGTCTCCTTTTGCAAACTTCCACTTAGATCTCCTTGACCAGAATAGGGTCACCCACAGACCAGCGACAGACTGAGGACACCTATCTTACCTTATCTTCTTAAGGGAAACAAGATAGATGTAGCCCAGGCCCATTTGAACAAATGGAGGTTCTGTTAGCAGGAAAGGGGGGCAGGAATAGAGACTAAAAGGGGGAATGAGTACTCAGTGGATTTTTGTGCTGTGTAATACTGGAAAACTCTGATCAACAATAGATGATGGGGTGCCTGGATGGCTCAGTTGGTTAAGCATCTGACTCTTGGTTTGGGCTCAGGTCATGATCTCATGGTTCATGAGTTTGAACCCTGCGTCAGGCTCTGTGCTGACAATGTGAAATCTGCTTGGGATTTCCTCTCTCTCCCTCTCTTTCTGCCCTTCCCCTGCTCACGTGCTCTTTCTCTCTCAAAATAAATAAATAAACTTTAAAACCACCACCACAACAACAGATGGTGAACGTTTCTTTCAAAGGTCTTATCCTCTTTAGTTTCTGCTGCTTTGGGTCACTCTCCAGTGCCCCCAAACACCTATATCTTTAATGTCTTGTCCAGGTTTGTAATTGTTATGTCAGTAGGATTAGCCTATTATGAGTTAATTCATCATTATCAGAAGCTAGAAGCCTCCATATTTTTGTGAGTTCATCAGTTTATATTTATTACGTTCGGGTTAACTAATGCTTAAACTCATTCAATCAGTTGTCTAAACAATGACTTTGCATAATAAAGTATTTGTTTGGGCTCACATGTTCTACTCCTGGGAGCTCTGAATGAACAAATTACATTTAGTTCTACCTCAAGGAGACCAAATGAGTATACAGGATGTATCATTTACTGTGAGGAGAAAAATGCCATAGGAAATAAGATCTCTACCTGCAAGCCTTACCAGGATTCCTAAAATCCTCCGTTGGCACTCGTGCCATGACCATGCCTGCTCTCTCAGGCCAGCTCTGGTAGCCAGATCAACTCTTCCAATAGCCTTGATGTGTGTTGTGTTGGGTCCAGACTCGCTTCTCCTCCCCAATGGCCTGGAGAAGGTCTGTGCGCAGACCTTGGGTGTATAGTGACTTAGCAGAGTAACTTAACAGTAACTTAACAGAGCTGATAGCCCAATAAAAAAAATACAAGGTAGATAAGTGGACACACACCAAAAAATCCAACTATATGCTATCTACATGACATTCACTTTAGATTTAAGCACACACATAAGCTAAAGGTGAAGGGATGGAAAAAGATATTCCATGAAGATGGTACCTAAAATAGAGTAGGGGTGGCTATACTTATATCAGACAAAATAGACTTTTAGTCAAAAACTGTCACAAGAGAAAAGAAGGCCATTACATAATGATAAAAGGGTCAACTCACCAAAAAGATATAATAATTATAAATATAAGTGCACTCAACATTGGAGTACCTAAATATAAAATGTAAACCTGGGTAGGTCCGAAGAGAGAAATGGATAGCGATACAATGATAGCAGGACACTTTGATATATCACTTTCAATAATGGATAGATCATCCAGACAGAAAAATCAATAAGATGACAGCAGACTTGAATAGACCAAAGGGGCCTAAGAGACATATACAGATCATTCCATCAACAACAACAGAATAAGATTCTTCTCAGGCTCACATAGAATATTCTCCAGAAGAGATCATATATTAGGCTACCAAACAAGGCTTAACCAATTAAAGAATCATTTCAAGTATCTTTTTCAACCACAATGGAGTGAAACTAGAAATCACTAACAAAAGGAAAACAGGAAAGTACATAGAAATTAAACAGCACACTCTTGAATAACAACCAGATCAGAAAGAAGTCAAAGGGAAATTAGAAAATATCTCAAGACACACAGAAATGAAAATAGTTGATATCTTCCCGCCCCAGCCCTTAAGAAGGAACTCCTTTTAAAAAATTTGTTTTCAAGTGTATTTATTTTTTGAGTGAGAGAGAAAGAGTTCACGTAGGAGGGGAGGGGCAGATAGAGAGGAAGAGAGAGAATCTCAAGAAGGCTCCACACTGTCAGCACAGAGCCTGATGCAGGGCTGGAACTCATGAACCATGAGATCGTGATCTGAGCTGAAGTCAAGAGTTGGATGCTTAACTGACTGAGCCACCCAGGTGCCCCTAGAAGGCACTCCTTTTGAAGAAGGTTTAATGAAGCCCCACCTTCCTTGTAACTTCTGTTTGGACGCATTCCTTTTAGGCATGTGCTGGCCCACTCCACCTGCTGCCCCTAAGAGGTATGCAGCATGATACCAGCACTGAGCAGGGTTGACTGACCTAATGAAAGCAGAGCCAGGAGAAAGCAGAACTTAAAAGTTCTGCTTTAACAATGGGACTAACTTTGTAAAAATGGGACTAATGTTGTAAAAATGAATGAGGATAACATACTTCTAAGCAGTAAATTCCAGAGTAGGTTGCCAATCATAACACTCCCTCTGCCCACCATCCCCCACCTCCCACCAGTCCTGGCCACAGGAGTAAGAATGTGCCCCAGGTGGTCCAGTCAGGCTCCTTTCCAAAGATTTTTAAAATTAAAACTAATTGAACTTAGAATGAAGAAAAACCCCTTCCCTTCTGATGATGACACTAGGAAAGTAGGGATTTGGGGCTCCCGGTGGTGGTGTTTCTATCGTCCTGGAGAAAGTTAATATAAGATACCAAGGTTGACATGCAGAGAGGAGGAGAGTCCAGAGTGGGAGAAGAGTCTGGCCACCTTCAGGCACCTAGGTCTAGCCACCCAAGACCAGAATATCCCTGTCTGTCTACAGCAAGATAAGACAATAAAGTCCACCCTCTTTGCCTTAGTTAATTTGACTTGGGTTCCATCACTTGCTAACACCAAGCTCCCAGCTAGTACACTGTGCCACTCATTTGGCATGTTATTATACACTCTTTACTGTTGCTAGCAAATGCTTTCATGTAAATGTCTCACTTCCCCAACAAGAAAATAATTGCCTTGACAATGGTAGTTTGGCCCTCATACCTATCCCAGTGCTGAGCACCACACGGGTAAGTGCTTGACATATATTTATTAAAGGTTACTATGAAGCAGATGCACAGCGTTAGGAATAGGAGCAGTCGACAACAGGAATCCTCGTTCAAGTAATTCCTCTGTGTTCTGAACCTGCGCCCAGGTGGCCAGTCCACAGGAGAACCAGCCATGTGATCTGGGAAGGTGCCCACAAGACACAATTTATTTGGAAGATTGGGAATTGCTTTCCTTCCATATCTTGACTTGGCATTCCCAGTTTCTCACGCCTGTCAAGATTTTCAGTAAGGTTCATCTTTCACTGGGTGATGGGTGTTCCCCACGACCTCTCCCCTCACTCTAAGACCAAATATATTATAATAGTATTTATTAAGGTTGAGTCTAGCGTTTTGATGAGCTAAAAGGCATTTTCTGAAAGGCATGTGAATGGCCCTCCAAGCTGGGTGCCTTGTCATAGGGATGGTTTCCTTCACCTGAGTGGTCAAGCCATTTGTTAACAGTATGGCAAACCCACCCCCCTCCCAGGGTGGAGGCCGCTGCCTCCTGCGGCCTGTGCAAGTGGTTGTTTTTTGTTATTTTTAATGAATATTTTGTTTTCTTATTTTTTTTATTCAAGTACAATTAACATACAGTGCTATACCAGCTTCACGTGTACAATGTATTGATTCAACAATTCTATACATTCCTCAGTACTCATCAGTATAAGTGTACTCTTAACTCCCTTCATTTTGGTGGACAGATGGGTGGCTGGTCTGGTGGGCAGAGACAAGACGTACACTTGCACCCAGCAGACCAGCCTGCAATGACTCAGCGTTATTATCTGGGAGCTTTCGCACCTTTTGTGCTTCACTTGAAGTTCTGGCAAATTCTTTCCTTCTGTAGGTTGACATCAACATTGTTTGGCTTCCCGTTGCTGTTTACAAAAAAAAGCAAACACCCATATATCTGGAAATATAGGATTTATGTTTTACTACTGAGTCTCAACATTAGTTGGGGTGTTGGGAAAGAGCTTAATTTGGCTGCTGAGTGGAAACCAAGGGTCTGTGTCTTTGAAAAGATGACGCCAGTGGGCTCGGTGCCTAAGCGTCAGTGCCCGCGCAGATGGAGATTCCAAGGATACCCAGGACTCCGGTCTTTGCGCAGGCTTCCGCACGGATGTCATCTGAAAAAGGGAGACATTTTTAAAGAAAGAGCACTAAGAAATATATTATTAGAGTGCAGCAAACCAATGCCTTTTTGTTAATGTTTTGACCGGGGGTGGGGCTGTACATGTATTTTCATGATCCCCAAGTTTTTAGCTATCCTTGCATTGCAAAGGATAGTAATAGCTTAACTTAAAGAAGACTGACAATTCCTAGAAGTGCTGTCTGGTTCTCTTTGATTGATGCTGTGACATTCTGCATTGGTGACCTGTATGCTTTTACTTATGAGTACTAATGACCCTACCAAAAGAAAAATGTCTTAAATTTTTTTTCCTGGAGAGTAAAAATGTAATAAATGCTAATTATTGTCTTTTTTTCTCTACCTTCTACTGTTCTGGGGAGTTTACCTTTTTTTTTTTTTGCGTTCTCCATCTGTGGCCTGGCCTCTCTTTCCCTCTGGCCACTCTCCTGTGTTTGGAAACTTTGTATAAAATGCTAGTAATGACTGGTTACCTGGACGAATCAGGGCTTTCTACCTGTTGGTCAGTGCACTCTGCTTGCTCTTTCTAAGACTGGTTTCTAAGACTATCCTAGATTCCTAAATGTTTTTTTAAAACTTTTTTGAAGAATAATTGACAAATGTATTCGCATGCATTTAAAGTGTACAAGGTGATGATTTGATATACATGCATATTGTAGAATGATCACCAAGATCAAGATAACACATCCATCACCTCACAGAGTTAACATAAGTAACTTGTTTGTATGTGTGTGTGGTAAGAATGCTTAAGATCTACTCTCAGCAACTTTCAAGTATACAGTACTGTTTTATTGACTCTGGTCACCATGCCTCCTATTAGAGAATACAATAGTTTTTCCTTGGCACCCAGGACATTTTTAAATTTCATCCTCTATGTTAACCCATCAACTTCTCCACCAGACTATGTGTTCCTTAGGGGCAGAGTTGTATTCGTTTCTGCATCTCCCTAACATTTAGCACAATTTCCACACATGGCAGGGGTTTGAAATTCCCAAAGTAAACTGAATTGGGTTATGTTCCACGTTGATTTGCATTTCACACAACACCTAGCAGAGCGCCCGCACATTGGAGCTTTCAGAAAATACGTGATGAAGGATTAATTTATTGGTACTCACGTGTCTTCTCCACCACTTCTCCCTTATACAGGGGGACATGACTGCAGAGCTGCTTGATGGGGGAGCCGAACAGGAACCAGTCTACGTGAGTGATCAGAGACTGCAGTGGGCTGTACTTGACCCAGATGTATTTGTCCGAGTACATGTTTTTCAGAGCCTACAGTAGTATGGTAGGAGGGGATAGGATAAAGCAAGCTGACATCATCATGTGTGCCTTATGCTAAACTGACTTTTTCTTTTTCGTTTAATTAAGCAGAAGGCGGTCGGGAATCTCAAGACACCATCACTTTCTGAGCACTTAGTCTGCAGAGGGACCTCATTATTACCAATGTTATTTTACTGCCGGTGACAATAAAACCCAGAGAGGGTAAATCCCACGGCAAAGGTAGCACAGATGGGAAATTAGAGAGGGAGAATTAAACACCAGGTTCCTAGCCTTGTGTGGGGTTTGCTTATTCTCACTACCCTGTATTGTTTCTTTGCACCTTCATGTTGTTGGATATTATAACTTCACTCATTTTTCTGACAATCACTATTTCTGAGAGTCCTCCTGTTCAGTCCTTTCTACAAAAACACTGGAATTTATTATAGGCTCTTGTATCGGAGGCTGTATGGTAGAAGTCAAGCTAAGAGGGGTGCCTGGGGGGCTCAGTGGATTAAACTTCCAACTCTTGATTTCAGCTCAGGTCATGATCTCATGGTTTGTGAGCTCCAGTCCAGCATCAGGCTCAGTGCTGACAGCATGGAGCCTGCTTGTGATTCTCTCTCTCCCCCTTATTCTCTGCCCTTCCCTTGCTCTCTGTCTCTCAGAATAAATAAATAACCTTAAAAAAAAAAAAAAAGAAATCAAGCTAAGAGATGCACTCCTGCTCCCAAAAACAATAAATGTGAAAACACTTTAACAGGTGGAAAGTACATAACCATGGTAAGATATATATCATGATCTTCCCCCTTACTCTCTTTGTTCCCGTACAGGTACCAGTTTTCCCCTGCTCAAGAACAGGAAATATGCAAGGGTACTGCAGAGTTACCTTCCTCTCATAGATGTATCGTTTTAGTTGGTCCAGAGCAGGGATGGCTTTATGTTTCATGTCCAGGATGTAGCAGGCTCTTCGGGAGAGCACCCTGGATGCGATGTAGCCCTGAGACAGCAAGAGCACAGTTACTGGCCTTCCTGGTTCCCTGGGTTCTGAACTGGTGGGGATGGCATTTGAGCCTTGAGCTTGAACAATGAGTGCCACTGACTGCTTTTCAAGCTGCAATCCATTCCAGCCATGACTTCTTTTACATAGTAGTTTTGTTTTTTCCCTTGCCCTTTCTATCTCTAAAATTGTGCACCCCACTTGTCATGCTTTGCAACGAGGGCCTGTAGTTTGGGTTTAACAATTAAGAAGCATCAGCTCTCCGGAAACCTGGGTGGCTCTGTCCGTTGTGCGTCTGACTTCAGCTCAGGTCATGATCTCACAGTTTGTGAGTTCGAGCCCCACAATGGGCTCCCTGTTGTCAGCGCAGAGCCCCCTTCGGATCCTCTGACCCCCTCCTACCCCCGTCCCTCCCCTGCTTGTGCTCTCTCTCTCTCAAAAATAAATAAATATTTTTTTTAAAAAGAAGAAGCAACTCTCTGTCTCTTTCTGTTGATGTTGTTCTGCCTTTTCCTCAATTTGGAGTAAATTCAGTATTCTTTAGAACTGTGCTTTCCGATATGTTAATTACTAGCCACATGTGCTATTTAAATTTAAATTCAAGTTAAAGAAAATTTAAAACGTATTTCCTCTGTCACATATCTCACGTGCTCAGTAACCACAAGCACCCAGTAGCTTCTCTACTGGAAAATGTAGATACAGGACATTTCCACCATCGTAGAAATTTCTACTGGACAGCGCTGCTGTCCTTGACATAACTTACCGCTAACACACACACACATGCTTCATCTATTCTCCCCTCCTTCACTGTCTTCTCTCCATCCTTTCTCCACCTCAGACCCAAGCTGGCCAGACAGGTATGAGCTGGAGGAAGGTAGGATGAAAACAGCAATGGTGGGTGGGGCCCGTGGAGCCAGAAGGAACTGGAAGCCATCTAAGCTTCATCCTGAATGGAATTCTCTCTATGGAGTTCCAAATAATTATACAGTCTGTGAGGCTGTAAGTAATTAAAAAAACAAATTCTTCTAGTTCCTATTTTTCAATTCTCACAAACTGACAGTTCCTAAAATTCAAAAATAGACTGAGGCAAAGCCTGATGACAGTTGAAAAAGCTTAAACCAAGTCTTTACCACTCTTTTTTTTTTAAAGACCTTTTGGGGATTTCCTTGAAATCTGTTTTTAAAAACAACTTCAGTACAGCTTCCTTTAAAACTGTATCTTCCAAAGATTCTATACTTTCAAATGTGTCCTAGAACTCCCAACGCTGATGAGGGGGAGGAATGTAAGGAAGTTTCTACAAGAAAAGGAGAAGGAAAGCGTGTTCAAATGGTCAGTCAGAGGGACTACAACCACAGCACATAGCTCTCTCCTGCAGGTCCCTAGTCAGGTGGTACAAATGGAAAACAAACAAACAAATAAATAGATAAAGGACCGAATAACCTTTCTGAGCACGTTTGAGACTTGTTGTTAATACCAGCAACTGAAACTTGAAAATAGTTTGGAGTTGTTGGTTAACATGCTTTCCTTCTTCCCGAAGAAGTACGATTTATTGCATATCCTACTTACATAGTTAAATGTGTACAGTTGTTCTGGATTTCTGCTATTCTGTGATGGTTTATTCTATAATCATTCTTTTTCTGCATAAGTGTCTGTATTAGAAGCCCTAAGTCATTCGTTTATTCATTCAATGAATATTTTTGAGTGTGCCAGGGCTTGCTTTGGGCTTGGTCACCCTTCTAGGCACTTTCTGAGCCTGTAGTGAGACAATATCATTATGCTTCCAATTTCCACCTGAAAAGGTCAAGCAAGTGTGTATGTTTCCTGTCACACTTTTTTTTTTAGAAATGGTTTTGTTTGTTTTTCCATCAATCGCTTGGTTATCTAAAGGGAAAAGGAGAAGTCAGAAAATTCTGAAAGCATTGCCAGTATAGTTCTTGGAATTCAGATGCATAGGAAATGGCTACCCCATCATCCTTGAGAAACCCAGTCTTGGGGAATGCAAAAATTCCCTTGCTGCTTACATGTTTATAGTCAAAAACCGTGGTAGAGGAGCATGATCCTGCATGGATGTTAATGATGGCGAAATTTTTTTCATTGTCAACTGTCACTGTCTCCTGAAGATTGCCGCCATTATTGTTTGGGCTGATGATGTTATAAACCTAGATTAACAACAAAGACATAATAGTTTCTCCATAAATCATATGCATTGGAAAGGCAACCCACCAGGTAAAATAAAGTCATCCACTTGCTGTGAATGGGAGATCGAAGCCTGAAACCTCTTCCCTGGCATCCTATACCAAAAGCCCATGCTTAAATAAGAATGTGAGGCTCTTCTTCATAGTTCACTATGTTATATATGGGAGAAGTAATGACATCACAGGAGAAATGAAATTGACCACATTTTACAGCAATGGGTTGCATTTTTGAAGGCATTCCAGTTAGAAATAACCAACCTTATTGATTGCACTATTGGGTATTTCTGGGATTCCATCCCAAACAGGGCTCTCTCCTGTCCTTCAGATTATCTTGTATCTTCCTTTTCCTCTCCCAATAGCTCCAAGATATAAAGTCCATAATGAACCAACTTACCTCGTATCCATGAGATTGTGTCCCAAAGATGGCCAGCACCAGGCATACCACCTGAAAAACAGACCAGTTGCATCCATTCCACTGAGGGCAAAGACATAAGGAGACACTGGACAAGACAAATACAAGTATCTCACAAAGTATCTCACACTTAGAGACACAAGTGGGTGGTCATGAATGGTCAACAGTACATTTCCAAAATGTGAAAACGCATTCACTCATTTGACAGACATTTATAGAGTTCATGCTATTTGTCAAACATAAGATTCTACCTTTAATACCCAATTCCCAACCCTTCCCAACGTTATAATCTTCTAGGTAGCATATGTTCTTATGCCAAGAACAACTTGGAGCAGGTGAATAGTGAGGAAGGATTTATTTTACTATGGGAATACCCTGGTGTGATCCACACTAGATTTGGATTATAGGAGTCAATTTGTGTTTTCTGGTTAAAAAAAGAATTATTTAATTCCTTGGGGTTGAGAGGGTAAAACAGATTTAAAATGGATTATGGGTGACAGAAATACAATGGATTCCCAAGGAAAACATGACAATAGGGTGCTTGGAGGCATGGTTAATTTTTGAGGCTGACATTAAGGAAAGTTCTATATTCTTCTTAGTGATGCCATCAGACAAATAAATGTTAGGTTAACCGGCTGAGACTGACACTGAGGCAGTTCTGAAATTTTGCTGGACTTATGTTAAGAGTTATCCAACATGTTGATCCCAGTTTTGTGCTCTCTTTTCTGAACATCACAGTGTATGGCACTTTCATTGCAAACCACTTATGAAGGGAATCTGCAGGGAAGCAGATATTTTTAAGAACCATCAGTAGGACTTTTCTACTCCCCTAACAATCACCAATAACATTTCTCTTCTGATGACTGGGGGTGAAGTGTCTGACGAAAACCTATGTGGAGATATCCAACTTGCCTACCTGCATAGCCACATACCTTCTCTGACTCCAGGCCAGCTCTAGAAACCTTTGACGCTCTTCTGGATACTATATAATGGGTCTACAGAGGTTTGAACAGATGGGTGGAGGACTGACCACCATAGTGATATAATTAGAGAAAGCTCAAAAAGTGTCCCCTGCCCCCAAATAACCACCCACTCAACATCATGATTAATACACCACGGTTACAGCTTTGTTTCGGTGATAGATCTCCTCTTGGAAAATCAAGAGACACCTGGGGAGAGGGAACTTTTTAAGTCAACCATCTTGAACACTTGATGGGGAGGAACTTATCATTTTGCTTTTTCCCTCAACAACTAAATGAGAATAGGGGATACGTGACTGGGGAAAGAGTTCCATTCTGGATCAAAACACAGTCCTCTGTTCATGGAGCATGGCAGTGTGGGACCATGGGAGACTGAGACCAGGGCTGAGATTGGCAGGAGGAGAGGTGGTCAGAGCAGGAATGTTCCTGCCAGTGGGGTCTGAGAGGGGTACATTTCAAGTCTAAACCTCACATTTACTGGCATGGGAAAATCACATTCCTCTGTGCCTCGGTCTCGTCATCTGTGGAATGGGGTAATACTACTCAACTCACAGAGTTGTGGAGTGAATAGATCAAAGTATTTATGTGAAGTGTGTAGCACAGGACCTAGTATGCACTTAGAAAAATGACAGCTATTATCTTTTTTTTTAATTACCACTTCTTTTTTAAATAGTAAATGCTGCTGTCCTAAAATGCCTACAATCTTCCCAAGCTCATAATTATTTAAAATTCTCCAAATTAAAATTCTCTAGATATTTCCAAATTCTTTCCTTGCATTTTTAAATAAACATCTCAGAAAATAGACGATGGACAAGTAAATATCTGACTTAATATTCAACACTATCACTGCCAAAGACACTATTTAATTCAATCATAGGAGCTTAGAAGCATGCACAGTGTTCATCTAAGTCTTCTGAAATCGAAGGCACATTGGATTTGAACATTCTCTGCAAGAGCCACCACAAGAGTATAAAGAAGCATAAACAAATACTCACGAGGATTTTCATTTTGCCTGATGGGAAGAAGGTGCCCAAGCAAGTGAGGCTACCGGTGCAACTTCCACCCTTTATATTAGCTTTAAGGTGTGGACATCTCTTTCCAGAACAATTAATTTGGAAAAGGCCATGTCCATATATCTGACACACCCCAGCAAACACCTTTATCAGGATTGAGACCCAGTCACATAACCTGATATCAATAAAGTTCATTAGTCAGTAGTAAAAATTTACCACTTGGTCACTCAGTAAATATTCCTTGCTTATCTGCATTATGTTGCAGTTAAGATTTCAATTTCCACCCTTTAAAAATATTACAGGATGCTTGTTCTACACCAACATCTTATAGACATACAAGGACACAGTCCGACTATCTGCCCTAATGTTAAAGTCCTCCCTTAAGAATCTTCAATGTCTTTTCAGGTCTGTCCTGCATTTTGAATTCTTCTGCCCAAAGACTGGACATAAGACAAGAGTTGAACACTGGCTGG